GCAGCACCTCGTCCTCTTGATAAAATTCCAGATCCAAAAAATGGAGGCCTTTGGTTCATATTTATAGGCCTCGAAATGCGGTTATTTGGATGAGAACAAGTGATTTGGCTCTATCTTCAGTCAACAGCAGCCTAACCACGTTTGGGGATGATCTCAAGTCAGTTAAGAACCCCTGGAACCGATAAACCCTGTAAAAAACCAATTTAAAACCGTCAAAACGCGTTTTGGGTATGTTACTGCGCGGCAGACTGATCTGACCCGCGCTCGCGCGGGTCGGATTGATCCGACCCGTGCATGCGCGGGTCGGATTGATCCGACCTGCGCTTGCGCAGGTCGGATTGATCCGTCCCGCGCTTGCGCGGGTCGGATCATTCCGTCCTGCGCTTAGCGCGGGTTCGCCGACTTTTTCCCCTTTTTTTGGTTTCTTTCTTCCAGGACTTGTTCTTGTCGTGTATTAGATAGATTTGTTGATTTGTATGCTTCGTCGCGAGACCGATCGTCGAACGCGCGTTGGTTAATATACGCGTGCTGATCGATGCGCGCGGGCTGATTGACGTGCGCGTGTTGACTGACGCGCACGAGGTGGTTTGACGTGCACTCGTTTGACCGGCGCGCACGAGTTGGTTTGACGAATCTTCTTGACTCGCCCATTCATTGCTTCGAGTTTCGTGTGGGCTCTCGTAGACAATTTTAGACGCCTACACATACGACGAGCATAGAGGAAAGTACAGTGAGCGGTCGTTATATAGTTTTAACACTAGGTTATTAGGCGCATCATCCTCGGATGTTGAGCAAGATGATAAATAAGCAAAGTTGAACTCCTCATTCATGATAATCTCCTCCGCCGAACGGCGTTGGTTACATTGTGACTTTCGTAGCCAATTACAATTGATTTGAAATCGTTCAGGACCAGGCCGTCACCATACTCGGGCTCTCTATCCGCCTCATTGCCGCTCTCAAGTTCCTCGATCGGTGGCTCGTCGGGGTCCTGGTACAGCAGAGAGTCCGTGAAGTAGTTCTTGACGCCTTTGAAGGGTTGTTTGTCAGCTACTACTGTTTTCACGTGATCATAGTCGTCCACATATTTTAAGCATTGATGTAAGGTAGACGGGACTATCCGGTTACTGTGGATCCATAGTCGTCCTAAGATCATATTGTAGGATGGCTCGGCGTCGATGACGTAACAGGTCACCTCTGTCTTCATGTCGCCTATCCGGCACTTCAGGCGTATTTTGCCAAGCGGTCGGGTGCCCGTGGCGTTAAAACCGAAGATAGTCGTGGTTGTCGCGAAAAGGCACTTCGAGGGCACCCCCAGGTGTTTGATCAGTTTCAGAGGCACGATGCTTAGTACAGACCCTGGGTCGACTTGAATTCGATCCACCTTTGAGGAACCGACGTACCCCGTGAAGTACAGTGGTCGATTATGGAAGGTGCTTTTGATGAGCATGTCCTCAGGAGTGAAAGTGATACAAGGGACTCGCCTTTCGGTGGTTTGGCAACACATCACACATTCCCGTTCTGTGTCTTCTTCCCTCGAGAAGTGGGTGGCGAAGACTTCAGAGTTGGCCAGTGCTTCTTGTAGGGCTTCCCGGGTGGGTCTGGATAACCACAAGAGGTCATACATGGTAATTCGTGTGGGGATGCTCTTTAGCTGCGCGAGTACGTTGAAATGGAAAGGTTGATTACTCGAACTTGGTTTATCGATGCCCGGAGGGGCTGCTGCAGCTGGCCTGGCCTGGCGGGAGGCCCTGCCGGGTCTTCCGCTCTCGTGGGATACTCCTTGGCGAATTCCTTCCCTGCCCTTGTGGTGAGGACGGCGGTTTCCTCCTCGGAGTCAGTGGGGGCGGTCATTGTTGTCTTATCTCCACCCAGGATGGCGGAGATGACATTGCAAGGTTTGCCTTTAACTTTTTTTGAGGGCTTTGAGGTCCATTGCTTGTCATTGAGGAGATCCGGATGGACCCACATCACCTATCCTGACGGTAAAATCTGAGGTACTAAGCCTTTCTCTCGTTGATTGTGAGTCGTCATTAGTGATTTTTAGGACTGCCTTGGGGATAGGGATTATCCCTGCCGGAGCCTGAACCTCTGGGAGATCTGTCCCAAAACTCAAGATGATCATATTCGTGGTCACCTGCTTTTGTATCTTCTCCTTCTTTAGGACTCCTGCATCGTAGAGGGCCTGAAGCTTATCCTTAAGGATGTAACACTTAGAGGTGTGGTGGCCAAGGAATCTGTGGTAAGCGCAATAACCCGGGTCATTGGTTTTGCTTGCCTCTTCAGGCTTTGTGACCTCCGGTAATTTAATTCGATGCAATAACCCGGGTCATTGGTTTTGCTTGCCTCTTCAGGCTTTGTGACCTCCGGTAATTTAATTCGATTGCTCTTGAGTAGAGTATCGAATGTCGTTGTGACCTCCGGTAATTTAATTCGATTGCTCTTGAGTAGAGTATCGAATGTCGCCACCACTTGGTCTTTCTTGAAGTCGTATTACCGCGGGGGGCGTTGCTCGAATTGCCGGGGCTTCGGTCTTTGAGCCGTTTTGGGTGCTGGGGCGGAATTGACGGTCTTGATCTCTTTTCCTCTTGTTCGAGGAGGATTCTTTGGCGTGGTTGGTTCTACGGCTCCCTTCTTAGGATGTGGCTCCTCGGCTTCTAGCCTCTTGATCATGTTCTCCACTTGCTCGCCCTGGCAAACAAGTTCCTTCTAGGTTCAGGTTTCCACCACACCGACCTTGGACAAAATATGGATCGAGAGATTATTGCAGCACATTTCGATCAATGTATACTCGGAGACCTAGTCTCGGTAGTGAACTGACCGATTCCTGAATCTCTTTACGAAATCGTTGACTGATTCTGACTTTCGCTGCTTCTCGGTGAGGAGGGTGGCCATCGACACCTCCGTGTCATCATCGAAGAAGCGGGCCAAGAAGATCCTTTCTGCGTCGGCCCAAGATGTGATGGAGCCAGGCTCTAACTTACAGAACCATTCAAAGGCCATCCCTTTGAGGGTACCGATGAACAATCGGGTAAGGTTGGCGTCGTTCCCCGTAAGGAAACCAGTTTGCACCATAAAGTAATAAATGTGTTGCGAGGGCGATCCCTTGCCGTCAAACTGTACCAAACTAATCGGCTTGAATTTTACTGGGTATGGGACTGTATCCCACTTGACAGGATAAGGTTGGATCACCCTCAGCTTATTCATGTTTTGTTGGAGTTTCAAAGCGTTGAGTTGGCTTTTGAACTCATCGAACCTCTTGTCACGGGCGGCCCAGTATGTGACGTCCCTAGCGATGTCTTAGAAGAGTGATCGGACTGTGGACCGATATTATCTTCCGTTTTAGTCGTCGGACAATGGGGAGGTACCCACTCCTTATTCCCCGCCTGTCACGGTAAGGTGTGTTGGGTTCTTTTCTTCTTTTTCTTCTTGTTCAGAAGCTGCTCCATCATCTCTCTTAGGGAGTCGATGGTCGCCTATTGTTACTCAAACTTTTGGGCCATTGTCTGTTCAGGGGTGGGTTCAGCCATGTGTACCCTTGCCAGTGCGTCCTGACTTGAGTGCAATGTTTGGGACGTGGCTACCGCTGAGTAAACCTCGTCTTCGTCGTAGGAGGGAGGTGCTACGGTGGAGTAATCAAACTCGATGCTTACCCCCGTACGATTACGGGTACGCTGGTATATGCCGCCTTGTCCATGTTGAACAAACCGAGGATTAGGCCCCAGGACGGAGTCCGAATCTGGGGAGTCAGAAAGTACTTCCTTACCCCTGTCCGTCATGTTGATCGTAGCGAACAAGAGCTCTAGATCATCGGTGGCGCGTCCTCTTTGGTGACGACGTCTTCGATGAGAAGGTCTCGGTTGGGAAGGCCGTTGAGAAAGCCTCCCGTATACTAAAGGTTTCACCATTTCTATACATTGGCAGTCGGCGAGTACTGTTTGGATACGCCTTTCGCAGTGGCACTGAGGATTCACCTCATGTATGGTGCGTTTGCGAGTTAGGTAACTACGGAGGTCTTCTGTGGATGGTTGGCGACAACCCCCAACGTCAGAAGGATCGCCCGGGTAATCACACGAGAGAGTTTTGGATGCACTCCCTGGTGTACACTAGGCGGAATGTTTAGGTGCTAGAGTTGGGCGAGTTCTCCTTGACAAGCGAGTCTTCACACTTTGGCGAACTCCAGTATGCAGGCGAAACTCAACCTCTTGCTCACGCAGGCGAGTTTGAGAGATATCACCTACCGCTTTGCCTTTGCAGTCAAGGCTCTTCCGCTCGTTACGCTCACCCGTCGGGTGGCCGCGGTGAGACTCGCCCGCCTTCGAAGGCTCACCTATTCGGGTAGACTTGTTCGCATCTGGGATGTGACCAGAAAAGCAAAGTCCACCTGAATGGGCGGTCTTTCCCATTTTGATTGGCGTGCCTGAGTGGTCCAGTTGGTCAGGAATACCAAGTCCGCCGGAACGGGGGGTATTATGATCAGAGCAAAGTATGCTCACACGCGAGGGCTCGCCTGGTTTAGAGAGCCTTCCAATGTTGGGAGGGTTGCTCCTTCGATTTGCATTCTTCGAACCTGGGTAATAACTCAGGCCGTCGTGCGAGGCGAAGGCTTGGGCCTCCTGTTGGGCGAGGGCCTGTCGTTGCCGCTGGCGAGCTCTTTTGGAGAGATGAGCTTCTATGCGGATTGCAACGGCATGGTCTACGCCGAAATGAACCACTGTTTCCTCCTGGGCGGGTGTCTACGAGGGCCGTTTAGCGACCCATCTGGCATCCCTTCCTCTTGTGCTCTCGACCTCTGATTTGGCCTCGATCAATTCGGAGGGAGTGGACTCCCTCGACGTGACTCGGATAGAGTCTTTAGGCGCGGAGGCTTTGACCGTGATGTTACTAGAAAGAAGTTCTAGAAAGTTGTTCTAGAATAATCTAAGTTGGTGAGGAATTCTAATAGCAATATCATAATTATTCTAACTTATCTCATTTCTTCCAAAAATTTGCGAACAGTGACTATGATAGGCTTGTTCCTAGCATCAGGTGGAGTGACAAGCAACATGATAGTGTACCTAATAGAAGAGTACAACATAAAAAGCATCGACGCTGCTCAAATCAACAACATCATCTTCGGATGTGTCACTCTTTCGCCTGTCGCCGGAGCCGTAATCTCCGATGGCGTTCTTCCGGCTGCCTCCCTGTCATCGCTTTCTCTAACCTTTTATCAGCTTTCTGGATACAACAAACTAGGATCTTACACTTCATAAGAGTTCATATTTAGGCTGAGTACATGAAAAACTAGCAACAATGAAGATCAATAGTAAGAATTTGGTCGACAGAAACAGAGCTGCAAAAGGCTGAACAGTTTAGGGGGGGGGGGGGGGGGGCAAGAAAAGTGCTGTCAAAATGCTGAAGTTTAGGGGGGGGGGGGGCGAGTGGTGGAATAATGTCATTTCATCAGTTGATATGGGTTTAACCTACAAGTTGTAATTATTTTACAATGAAAGTTAACCAAGCGGGTAATTGCACATAACCCCCCTGCACTGTCTGTTTTGAACTTACAACCCTTGTAATTCCATCATCGCCCAAGGGTTAAGTTCTTTTGGCTCTTTTACCCTCAGCTAAGTATCTGACAAAATTTGACCAAGGATAGAGAGTCAAAAAAAAAAAAAACTAGGAGGTCTGACTATAGTAATGAATCTACATGGATAGGAAGATCAAGACAGAGAAATTGCAAGGGATCTACGTTTACAATTGCATGTCGTGGGACAAAGGGCAAAACCAACAATTTTAGCAGCCAACAAAACATTGCATTTGAGTCTTTGACTCGCGACGAGCATTTGTTCCATTTACAATTGCAGCATGCAGAACATGCGTCCGATAAGTTGTTATGTCTCAAAATGCAGTCCCTGGTGCTTTTCACTCTAACTTCCACGATCAAATCCCTGAGGCCAGCATCATGCTCACCACTCGGATCCAACGATTGTGAATCACCATCAGCTACCCAATTAGCAACACTTTATACAGCCGTCGCCCTGTTATCCGTCGGAACAGGTGGGACCCAGTTCAATGCCATGACATTGGGCGCGGACCAATTCGACAGGTTCAAAGACAAAGAGTCCTTCTTCAATTGGTACTTCATCGCCATGTACTCTTCCATGATCGTAAGCTCAACTGTGATCGTCTATGTTCAAGATAGCGTCAGTTGGGGACTAGGGTTTGGGGTGTGTACGGTTGCTAACGGTGTGAGTTTGGGTGTGTTGGTGATGGGAGTGAAGTATTACCGTCGGCCAAAGGCGAGAGGTAGCCCTTTTACGGGCTTGGCACGGGTTGTCGTTGCGGCGGTTAGGAAAAGAGAAGTTGCGGTGAGAGCAGATGGTCGACTGAATTATCACTATGGGGCGGGCGAAGAGCCCGAGTCGTCATCAATACAAGTACCGAGCTCAAGTTTCAGGTATGGATTGAAGAAAGGTGGATCAAAGATTGTTCGGTTGCAACTTTTCATACTTTTGTCTGGTTGAATTAAGCAGTTCTACGCTCTTGACTAACATTTCTCGTCACAGATTCTTAAACAAAGCGGCAGTGATCAACGAAGGAGAAGCCAACACAGATGACTCCATCGCGGACCCATGGAGATTGTGCACAGTAGAACAAGTAGAGGATCTCAAAACTCTCATTCGGATATCGGCACTGTGGGCTTCTTCTGTGTTCCTCAGCATCTCATTTGGCATCCAAAATAGCCTCACTGTCCTTCAAGCACTCTCTATGGACCGGACCGTCGGCCGTCGTTTCACCATTCCGGCAGGCTCCATGATCGTCGCATCCCTCACCACCGTCGCTGTTGTTCTTCCTCTTATCGACCGAACCCTAATTCCTATGTGTCAAAAGCTCATCAGAAGAACACCGACGCTGCTTCAGCGTATAGGGCTTGGGCATGTATTCAATGCGTTATCGATGATGCTCTCGTCCTTGGTTGAACGAAAGCGAGCCTCACTTGTGGTAAGGTCTCTTCCACTGCATCACAACTCTAAAGTTACGATGAGAGCTAAGCGTTACAGGTTCACATTCGGACTAATTGCACTTTAAAATCCTAAATTTAGGTATTTATCCGCGTTGAAAATAAAAACACTAAATAACTTCTTCATTTTTCCAGCGCAGAAGCACTGAAAGTTAACATTGAACCGTAGCCAAAGTAATCTCCGGCTAGCAGTGCTCACAGCAAAATTTGAAAGAAAATTGTAAATTGAAAGATATTAATGTTAAAAAGCAGGTGAAACCCTAATGTATTATTTGGACAAATTTAAAATTCAGGGATCAAAGTTCACAACAACGAAACTTTGAAGTGCAATTTACTCTTTATAATCTAACATAACCACGCAGTCCTTTTAATCATGGGTCAAAGCATGGATTCATAGATCAATATATTTTTTGCATTAAATTTGCTTGAAATGATTGGTCGGTCAGCCCGATTTGAACCTAAGTTATCATGTTAAAGTTCATTCCACTGCATGAAGACTCCGAAATTAGGATGAGAACTGATGATTATAATTTTATATTCTGACAGGTATACGACCACCCAACCGGAAACCCAGAGCCAATCGTTCCAATGTCGGTGCTCTGGCTGGTGGTCCCGCTGGCGGTTGTAGGGCTCGGCCAGGCGCTGCATTTCCCCGGTCAGGTCGCTCTCTACTATCAGGAGTTCCCTAAATCACTGAAGAGCACAGCTACGGGAGTTGTTGCTTTGCTCATTGGCATCGGATTTTACGTGAGCACTGCTGTGATTGATTTGGTGAGGAAATTTACTTCATGGCTTCCGGGTGATATAAACGAGTCTAGATTGGATAAAGTGTTTTGGATGTTGGCTGTCGTCGGAGCGATCAACTTTGGATTATTTGTGCTGTGCGCGAGAGCGTATGAATGTCAGAGTAGAGAAATACAGAAGGAAGATACCCCCAACGACAACACAGTTGAATGATGTTCTGAAGCGTGTATCTTGTGTGCAGTACGTTTGGCTTCGAACGTTGTCGATGTTTGTTAGTTGTGTACTTTGCTTTAGTACGGAAAAATCATTCGAAGAGTGTTTACTTCGTAGATAAATATGAGTATCAATTTTCGGTCGATTTCGAGTATCTTTCGACTCAATAAAAAAGGAGTAGGCATCATCCCAAGCTTGGATTATCCAGAAATGGTTAATTGTCAACAGGCCCCATGTAATATCATTGTCTTGAACTTACTACCCTCTGTAGTTTCGTTGCTCCAAATAGACCCTTTTGAGTAAAAATTCTGACTCTTCTACCCCCAGATAGACACCATGAAGCAATATCTGCAAATGAAAAAGTGTGAAAAACCATATAAATAAATAAACCCAGGAGTCTCTCCACATCATTCAAGCTACAAGGGTAGTAAGTTTAAAACAGTGATGCAGCAGGGGGTGAAAGTGCATTTAACACATCCAGAAATCACAAACGTGGCACTCGTGAACAAATGATAACCTCAAAGGCACTTCTCAAAATCCTCACCACTCCTACAGAAAAATTCAGCTATAAAGATCAGACTGCCAAAAACTAATGAAACATTTCTTCAGGACCTAAAAAAATAACATTAGTTGATTCCCCAAATGTTAGCATGCAAAAGTCCTCCGTCATAGAATGATAACTAGCATAATTTTACAGGCGACCTAAAAATAATACAACCCCACATAATATTGTTATCCCAAACCTTCGGATATTGCACACCAAAGCCAAAGTGCAATCACCACAACATAGAATCCAAACTCCTCAATTTTCCCCCTAAGTTATGGTTATAGGTCATCATCTCTCATATCAGTCCTTCTCTTTGCTTGCAAAGCTAAACGAGCATCACGCTCTCGCTCAAACTCTCTCATATCGGTTCTCTGCAAGAAGGAAACTTTGTCTAGATATTGATTTGAGCTCTTCTTGTATGCATCCAGCTCGTCTTCGAGCCCTTTGTTCTCCTCCTTGAACTCACCCCAGTCTTTCTTCGTCTTGTCAAGTACACTAAGTTTTGGTTTCTTCTTTATTTGTTCTAAGATGGAGTCTAGGGCAGAAGGAGGGGCTCCAGGAATCCTAGCTTTCTCTGCTGCCTCTTTTGAGTTGGCATCGACGATCTTTTTCATTTCTATCTCTTCACCTGCAAAGTCCCGGACCTCAGTAATCTGTGAGGTCAAAAGACAAAATGAGGCACATGTTGGTTAATAAAAGTGTAGAAGTAGGATATTGTGAAGGCTTAGCAACAATTATCTAAAAGGCATGCTTTTATGAATAAATTTCACAAGATCCCCTTTAACTTTGGGGTTTTGCTCTCCCCTGAACTTTACAAATCATAGGAAACCACTGAACTTTCAAAATATGACTAAACCCCCTGATATATTGGAAATTCACGTGTTAACAGGTAAAGTAAAAAGGTATGAACTACCATTAATACTTTTTACCTATTTTACTCTACCTTTTTTGAATGCATGATCATGTGGAGTTACCACTAAAAAAATCTATGAACATAAATGTCTGATAACTAGATGGCGGCAATTGCTTAGGGTCTATTGGCATATCATTTGGGTTCGTGTGCTTGATAGGGGAAAGGGGATATTTAAACGGACATATGATTGAATACACAGTGGCAAGTAGTATAACACACACAGTTATGAGCTTCAACTGCACTGCACCAATATTTGAGCTCAGGTATCTATTTTGAAATTCAACTGAGTACAAAGATTAAACAAGCCAATGTTCCTTACATCCAATGAACATCATGAAGGTCACGAATCAGAGATATTAACCTACCAAAATTCAAAGGGTCCAAGAGAAAATTACTGAACAATAGCAGCCACAATCAATGGGCTCATGTATAGTGAAGCATTAACAGGCAGCTCACATTCCCTCATGTATAGTCATGTATTTTCCAATATAATTGTTTATGCAACAGAGATAGAAGTGTTGCACATAAATAAGGAAGGTTCAGCACAGTGTTGAAAAAAATGTGTTACATAACCGATTGTAATGCGTTTTGTAACTTAAACGGTGCTCTCTTGTCAGGTAATACGCTCATTTAACGCTGAAACTGTATAACGCAGAAAAATCACGTTATATTGCGTTAAATGTACTTTACATTATGCAACTAGTTAACATGAGTTTTTTAAGGTTAAATTACATCTCTGATTAAGAGGCATGGATGCATCGCCACCACAAATCACTTAAACCCCATCCTTTTAGTCCTGAATCTACAATCTCTTCACCTCCTCCAACCCACACCCTAGCCCCTCGCCTCCTCCATCTCCTCCCCCTCTCGCCGGTGGTGAAGCTCCACCTTGCCCCCTCTCCTTTCGTTCTCCTTCACCTATGAGCTTACTGCTAGCCTATTGGCTAGCTAGAGCCGTCTCCACCACCTCTCCATGAGAAGCCCTAGCTCCTCCATCTCCTCCACATCTTTGGCTCCTCCCCCTTCGACTCCTCTCCAACACCTCTCAGACATGACGAACAGTGATGAACCCTCTCCAACTCCTTTCAACGTCTACTCCATCTCCTACCCCTCTCCAACTTCAGCTTTTAGTTTTCAGTTAATACTTGGGTGAAATTAATTTTGCACTTCGCAATCACTGTATGTGCAAAATTTCTAACTATTACTACAAAATCATTTGATGATGCTTTTTGGAATGGTTGTTAGCCATATAAGACTTACTTTTATTAAGAAATTGTGATACTATATTTCTAGATAATTGTGATGTTATGTTTGAAAAGTTTGATGATTCTAAGTATTAAAGTTATTATGAATTGTTAGTATTTATAAAATATCTAAATAATTAATTAATAAATATAACCAACGTTATGCGTTACGTTTTTTTGCGTTTTTCCTTAACCCGTAACAAGAGATCAAGCGTTACATAACTCATTTTTGTTATTTTCAATATTGGTACTTCAGTTTATGCCTATAAAGTGCTTACTTCAATTTTCCCTTTCCCTGCAGCAGCAGCTGCAGCTGCAGCTGCGCATCTCTAACAGCAGAAAGAGCAACCGCAGCTAGTCTTTTAGCTTCCTCGCTTGTGCCATTCTCTACAGCAGCAGATCCTTTCCCCGTTGTCCCCTGATTAATTGATGCTTTCTTTGATGCAAGGCCAAGATTCACCATCCAACCCTAAATTTCAAAACCAATAAAACAGAATGAATTTTGGATTAAATTATCTCATTGAAAGATCCTATTTTTACTAATGTACATGTGAGAATGAATGCTTACAGGAGTCTGCTTTTGTGCTGGTTTATTTGCTGCCGAACTACATTTATTTGTAAGAGTTTTGGTCATTTTAGGCATCTTAAAGGGAACACTACTATTCATTTTCTCCCATGCAGCGTTAATTCGAGCTTTCCTTTCTGAAAATATAAGAACATATTCTAGTCAAAAGAGTTCTTTAAAGTAGAAAAAGAACATATCAACGAGGTACAACATATTCGAAGTTCCATTGTAGCAAGGAGGTGAATGAATTGATTGCATATTGGAACAGTACCAGTATTAACCAAGCTCCATAAGGTGAGAGGTGTAGTGTCATTTAAACCAGATGAATCTTCATAAATCATAGGAATAACGTGAAATATAAATAAAAAAATAAAGAAAGCAGTGATGGGGAAAACCAAAGAGTAGTGATGGTATAATTAAAGAAAAAAAGACCAAAGAAAACATTACCAGGCAAAGTTTCTTAACTCAAATGAAGACAGAATACGTAGAAAACAAACACTAGCCGAAAAGTATTAACTTACCATTTTCCTCAAATTCATCCAGCAAGCTAGAACCTTTTCCAACATCTTGTCCATTTGAAGTTCCTCCTTTGCCAACTGCATTAATTCCAAAGTAAGATACTTAAAATTTCTTGGAACTAATACACATGTATACCACACGGAATTGTTTTATTTTATTTACATTTGTAACATAAATGTCCATATTGTTTAAAATGTTTGCATTATATTTTTTTAATATTTATAAAAAGCCCCCCGTTGCACCCTGGCGGGGGAGATTGTCCACAAGGTTTCTAATTGTGGAATCCCTGCAACATGCAACAGCAAAATGTCATTTATATCTTGCTTATATCAAATTTATGCATTTTTTCTGGAACTGACTCTTACGAATTATATTTCATTTTAGACATTGCAACTACATAGGTAGCGATCACACTACTATAGACACGGGGTCTTTGGATGATAGCATAATTCGTTCCATTCATGATCGTGATCCTTTAGGATTGATGAATGGCATGACTGGAGAGACCATATGTTGAGGGTGGAGACAATTTTGAGGGACTGATTTCCTCTCATCAAGCAATGTCATCTGACCTGGTCCTAAAGTTTCCTGATTGAACCCCGTTCATATTCACTCGCATTGGTGGATAAATGCAAAGTACTTCTAATTCTAGTGGCAATGGCTTGACAATATTGAAGCCTCGCCCAGCAGTATGAAAAGCAAAAATCAGTGTACTTGTTGGATATAGAATTCGCATGGAAAAGCTAAGGAACTAGAGAGACAACTTCCTACCTCAAAGGATTTTGACTATGACGGATGGTTATCTAGATTGGGCAAGATATATTATGAAACTGAAAGTAAAGAATTGATAAAACCGGGACTTATGGCATCATATATGTCTCCAATTCATGTATCAATATGAATGTTCAAATAATTCTTCAATGCTTTTGCCGAAAATTAAAACCACAACACTAACTGTTGCTTCATGGAGGATCGAGAGTTTATTCCAACATTACTGGACTTGAAGCACATGGCCGATATGCCAATCTACAAAGAATTTTATAACGAGTTCGCTCCAAATGAGCAAGTGTTGTTTAGATATACCAACAAAGGGTGATGTGAAACGAGACAGAGGGTCTATCAGAATCAGCGATTTAATTCAAATAACACATCGTTTCACCAAATTTCATGATCTTTGGCAGGAAATTAAATTCAAAACAACTAATGTGACAGATGGATTTAACGAAATTTGCATCAATAGTTATGATTAATTCCAATCTCGATCAATTTAGCTGCAATATTCATTATAACGAAATTTGCATCAATAGTTATGATTAATTCCAATCTCGATCAATTTAGCTGCAATATTCATTATCGTGCCCAAGTTCTACAATCAATATCAAATTTAAACGGTCACATGCTCAATTACTCTCAACTCACAAATATAATCTAAGCAGTGAATATATGATAAGAGTTTAGTTATGGAATACTCATGCAATTAATTAATAAAACGAGATTAACAGAAAAATAATTTATTGGGCTATCAAGTGGTGACGGTCGACGGATTAACTGGCGACGACGATGACGAACTGAATGACTACGAGGTCGACGGGGCTAGGGCGATGTGATGACCCGTGGGTAGGCGGCTGGGGAGGAGGGGATCAAGATAGGTTGCTGTTCGGAAGAGGGAATGACGCAGGCGGTGGGCTGAGAGTTTTGCGGTTGATGTAGAGGTGGCAGGGAGGTAGGGCTGGGTGTCGGGGCTGCTTGAGAATGGAGGGGAGCAAGGGAAGGATGCGCGGCTAAGGAGGCGCGAATTGTGGAAGTGCTGGTGGGGCTACTCAGTGGGAAGGAGGGCAGGGAAGGGAAGGGAAGCTGCTTGTGGAGCAAGGGGCGGCGACTTCGTTGAAGGATGCAGGGAGTTTTGACGGGTCGTTTATAGGTGGAGAAGCATGAGAGGAGCGGCGGAAAGGGGTGACAGCAAGTGGAGGAGGTGAAGGGCTGGGCGCGGCTGCTTGGGGAGGAAAAGAACAAGGCTATTTGGAGAGAAGTCGGATGGCCTGAGAGGGAGGGAATTAGGGGAGGGCGTGGTGTTTTTGTGGGAGGTTGGCGGCTGTAAAAGAGGAGATTGGCGGCTGTGAAGAGGAGAAGAAGAGTCAACCTAGGGTTTCACACCCGAGGCTTCAAACCAAAATTGGGCTTCACACCAAAAATTAGCTAACAAAATATTTCATTCAATTATTTATTATTCTTTCATTCTGATTAAAGCAGTGCTTTTATAGAGCAATAAGTAATTACAAAATCTCTCAAAATCAATCAGATTCCTCAAATCACTTGGATACTAAAAACTGATTAACTACTTAACTTGACCCAAAATTCAAAATTCAAAAATTAAAATCCTACCAAAATAGAAAAATCCCTCAAATTTCTCACAATTAAAACTAATTTAAGATCTGATCAAACTTGCCAAATCTTCCTTATTCAAAACTAAAATAAAAAAAAGTCAAATAACAAATATGGAAATTGTCATTGTTGTCCTCATCAAAGGGGCTTACGAAAGTTCAAAGTTTCAAACGTGCTTGGCGTAATATTCCACAAATATTACAAGCTTTTGAAAGAGAATGGAGGGGCTGACATTTAATTCAAGATTTGGATGAAAGCCTCTCTACATAGCTCTGGGCTTACAACAATCTCTTTTGCAAATCCGCGAAATCCTTTTAGAGAGGGAGTAGAGGGTTATTCTAATCCTCAACAAAAATAAAAACTACTAATCCACCGTTGATTAGCTTTCCAGATGTAACTCGCGAGGAGTTTGTGCTTGTCTTCATAATTCTCTAGCTTTGCTACTTCATCCTTCATTTGATTTGAAGAAAAATATAACACAAGCATAGAAATTTGTGATGGCAGATTGAATGGCTAGGGAAATAAGGGCATTAGTTGCTCCTCCTATCTTAGCATATATTTATCGGACTGTGAGACTGACTACTACCCCTAATCCAAACAAGTACAAAGGCGATTCCATTTATTATATTTTGGTTGGGTGATCACATACACTAGAGGGCTATACATTGAAATAAATCCATGGTTATGGAAAAGAAATTTCCACTTTTGGACAACATAGAGGGTTCTCCAATCAATAGATCGAATTTCTATAATTGTTAAAGGTTTTTATTTCAACCACAATAGGTTCATACGACATGCTCGCTAGACCTATTCCTAGCATTTCTAACGACGAAATTGCTAATTCACCAATGAAATATGGCATTGCTTGTATGAGACTCGAAGGTCATAAAGTTTATGATAAGCATTTAGCAGCAATAATTGCCATATAGATCAGGGGATAAGCTTATCGTTGGAAAATATCCCCCTAACAAAGTAAGCACATCATATTGGCATGAGCCTAAAAAGTAGCAATTAAACACTTTGATTCATCAAAGTTCACTTTGGGTTTGCAAGGAATAACTAAATGTTGGGTATTTCGTCTATGTCGAAATACTGGATCTTCTTTTATTATTCTAGCCATTAAATACATACAGATGTTATGTTTTATGCTCTCTGGATAGACGGTAACTTAAAAGCATAGAGATCAACTCCCCTCGATCATATCTTCAAAAACATCTTGATACAAAAATGCACTAGTTGCTACCTAGTACTCAAAGCGCCTCAAGTTCATGAATAAAATAAGAAAAGAAAGACTCAAAACCATCCAATGATTTATCCATTTAGCCAGGTCTTTGAAAATATCTTCTTATATTTCACCATTTTTTCTTTCAATGTCTTTAATACTATTATTTATATGTGCTTTTATAGAGATACTAGCTCATTTGATTCCTCTTTCAATAACTGATCCTAAGGAACTATAGGAATAAGATGGAGTGAGACTACATGCGACGTAATCCCTACATCATGGACGGATCCAGAAATTTTGTTTTCCTATAGAGGCACTCATAAAATTATAAATATGAATAATAGCTTTTATAATATAAACTTTAGCAATAGAAAGACTTATATATACCATAATCATAAAATCTCGACACATAATACTTTTAATTATCATTTTTATCACAAAACTAGGCTTGTAACAACAGTCTTTCAAATTATTACCTATATTAAAGCACCAACAAAATAGTTCATGAAGGCACCATGTAAATCTACGCCAAATTCTAAACTATTTGAAATATTTATAGGGACATGTGCCCCTATATCCCTACATGTGCCCCTATATCCCTACATCTGCATCCATCCTTGCCCTGCATTACAAACCTATAAGCTTTCATCATCAATCAATTTACTCATTTTCCGTAATCCCTCCATTCTATTTCTGCATGAGCTACTCTTTTCTATTTAGGGATATTCCTCTTGCTCCAATCGAGGCTTATCCATATCGACAAAAACAGATTGGGGAGTCCTCTTCATTTGCAGGAAGTGTAAAGAAAGAGGAGGATGTCTCAACGTTGTAGATGTTCCAAACATAGTTACATGGAACCTAGTTCGTTCCGGTTCAGGGATGGGCATAGGACCGTAGTACACCACTCATTAGGAATCAGGTACGAAGGAAGTAGGCTTATATAGTACGCTAGGGAACATGCTACACTTTTGGCCCGATTTTTAAATGCTAGTTGATGTCAGTAATGGTAAAAGAACCTTCAGAATCATGTTACAATTAAGATATGTATACTTTATTTGCTTAATTTCTCACGTTTTTTGTTGTTTATTCTTTTAAAAAGAGTAAATTTTTTTCAACATTTTAACCGATTTGAATTTCCAAATCGAGTCGTTGGAGTTGGTAAATTGAGTCGTGTTTCACGTGAATTTGAAATGATTAAACCCGGATCGCGGTTCACTATAGCGTATTACGTTCCTGAGTTCTATTGTTCCAAAGCCTATGGATGATCAAGATTTATTCTTGAGAGAAAGTATAACCTTGCAAGAAATGGATTAAACTTTTTTTACAATGATTTGTTGACTAAAGAAATGCAAGTAGTACACTTACGTTGTTCAAAAACAGAAAACAAGGTGGGTAAAGGAGATAACTTAACCTCGTCTAGTGTAGTGGAGGAAGAAGAGCTTGACATGCACATTGTGGTTCTGCATGTCATGAAGAACCTGAAGCAGCAACAATGCAACATATCCCATCGCAAAAGAATAATTATGATGGACAATCCAACTCATGTCCTGATATGCACTTTACAGTGGTATCTCAACTTGTGCATGTTCTACTTACATGGTTTTCACAGGTTTAATACATGTGCAGGGATTTCTAATGATTCTCCTTCTCTTAAACATGTCTAGAAAAGAAAATAGCTTATAATTGACTAATAATCGACCATAATCCTTCTAATTGTGATGTTGTCTCAACCTAGAAACCGACAACCAAAACGTATTAGTTGGCATGAACTTTGAACAAATGACACTTGTGTACCCATGCACTACTTGAGGGTAAGAAACATAGTTGCTCAAAAAATTATTTGTAAGATATGACCAATCGGATTTGATCTATATGTTTCAAGTTACCGTCCACGTGGCGAGCATATACCTTAGAGAACACATTAATATCTAGGAGCTAGTATAATGAAAGATCTATTACACTAAGGTACAAAAAATACCAACGTTCAATTATTCATTGTAAATTCAAAGTGATCTCTGACAAAATCAAGATGTTTAAGTGACAACTCTTGGCTCAAGCTAAAGTGATGTGCTACCATATTAGGAAGATATTTTCATAATAATAAGCTTATCCCCTATCTATAAGGCGAA